CCAGGTCCCTTGAAACAGCAAGGATGGACCGGTACCCCGGCAGGGATCTGGCTGAAACGTGCAGTCTGACATCACCCGAGGGGTCCCGGAGTGTGAGAGGGCACTCTGCAAAGTTGCAGGAGCTGCCAAGCGACAGCAACTCTATCAACTCTATCAATTGAGCATCTGCCCCTTGGTGGTCCTGCACATCATACCTACTGGCTGGTTGGTTTCAGGGACTGTTGGTATGGGGACCACATTTGGGACCACTGCTCCAGTGATAGTCCTGCAAGTGGCTGGGGGGCAGGGGAGGGAGTGAGAAACATTCACTTAGTCTCTCCAAATTGGTTGCAGCCATTCAGGTAAAGGCAGGATGCGCCCTAGCCAGTTTGGCTCAGTGGATAGAGTGTCGGCCAGCGGACTGAAGGGTCCCAGGGTTCGATTCTGGTCAAGGGCACACGCTAGAGTTGTGGGCTCGATCTCCAGTAGGGGGCATGCAGGAGGCAACCAATCAATGATTCCTTCTCATCATTGATGTTTCTATCTCTCTCTCCCTTCCTCTTTGAAATCAATAAAAATATTTTTTTTAAAGCAGGACTCATGCATGCATATTCTAGCCAAACTTGTTTAGGGACCTATTAGGATGAATCATTATGCTTTGTTAGAAGGTGTACAATGATGCAGAGAGAAAGAGCACCTAGAGAAATACCTCTGGGTAATGGCAACTATAACCTCAAATATCAGGATTCCTCTCAGTCTGGAAAGCAGTACAGAGCAGGGAGGGACAAGATCATCCGCAGACTGTCCTGGGCCTGCTGAGAGAAGACACAGCTCCTTTACCATTTTCTGGGCAGAAGAAGGGGAATAATTCTGGATAGAAACCCAGCTTCCTATCAGGATTCAATTACAGCTGAGTGATTAAAGGAATTAGAGCAAACTCCATTTGGAGTTTAGTGGATTAGTGGAGGGACAGTCCGCACTCTCAGATTTTGGGTGCACCCCACAGGGGGAACCAATGCATGTAGTTCTGTGATTGCAGAACTGAGAATTGAGAATCTCACCCCTTCCTGACAATTGCACATCAGCGAGTGAAATCGGATTCAATTACAGCTGAGTGATTAAAGGAATTAGAGCAAACTCCATTTGGAGTTTAGTGGATTGGTGGAGGGACAGTACGCACTCTCAGATTT